ATTTGTGGTCTGTATATTTTATCATTTCATTGAGGATACCATCAACACCACAGGCCTTTCTGGGTTGGAGGGTTTGTATTTTGTCCTGTAGTTCATTCAATGTAATTGGAGAATCCAATGGGTTCTGGTAGTCTTTAATAGTTGATTCTAAGATTTGCATTTGATCATGTATATTTTTTTGCTGTTTGTTCTTTGTTATAGGCCCAAAAAGATTGAAAAAGTGGTTTACCCATACATCTCCATTTTGGATAGATAGCTCTTCATGTTGTTGTTTGTTTAGTGTTTTCCAATTTTCCCAGAAGTGGTTAGAGTCTATGGATTCTTCAATTACATTGAGCTGATTTCTGACTTGCTGTTCCATCTTTTTCCGTAGTGTGTTTCTGTATTGTTTTAGTTATTCACCATAGTGAAGGCGTAGGTTCAGGTTTTCTGGGTCTCTATGTTTTTGGTAGGATAGGTTTCTCAATTTCTTTCTTAGGTTTTTGCATTCTTCATCAAACCATTTGTCACTGTTGTTACTTTTCTTCGGTTTTCTGTAAGAGATTTATAGATTTGATAGGGAAGCTCAGAGGTGAAATATACTGTTTAGGTTTTCTACTGCCAAGTTTACATCTTCACTATTACAGTGGAACGTTTTGTCCAGGAAGTTGTCTAAGAGATTGAATTTGTTGTTGCTTAATTGTTTTTTGGTAGGTTTCGACACTACTTTCCTTCCGTCTATAGTATTTCTTAATATTATTCAGTTCCTTTGGCTTTGATGCCTCATGATTGAGTATTCCTCTGTTCAAGTAGACTGTGATTTTGCTGTGGTCTGATAGGGGTGGCAGTGGGCTGACTGTGAACGCTCTGAGAGACTCTGGGTTGAGGTCAGTGATAAAGTAGTCTACAGTACTACTGCCAAGAGATGAGCTATAGGTGTACCTACCATAGGAGTCCCCTCGAAGCCTACCATTGACTATGTACATACCCAGTGTGCGACAGAGCTGCAGGAGTTGTGACCCGTTTTTGTTGGTTATGTTGTCGTAGTTGTGCCTAGAGGGGCATATGGGGGAGGGAATGCTGTCACCTCCAGGTAGGTGTTTGTCCCCCTGTGTACTGAGGGTGTCAGGTTCTTGTCCAGTTCTGGCATTTAGGTTGCCACAGACAAGTACATGTCCCTGGGTCTGGAAATGATTGATTTCCCCCTCCAGGATGGAGAAGCTGTCTTCATTAAAGTATGGGGATTCTAGTGGGGGGATATAGGTAGCACACAGGAGGACATTTTTCTCTGTTGAGATAATTTCCTTTTGAATTTCTAGGCAAATGTAAAATATTCCTGTTTTGATTAATTTAATAGAGTGAGTTAGGTCTGCTCTATACCAAATTAGCTTACCCCCTGAGTCCCTTCCCTGTTTCACACCTGGTAGTTTGGTGGATGGGACTACCAGCTCTCTGTAACCTAGAGGGCAACCAGTGGGTCTGTCTCCTCTATACCATGTTTTCTTGTAGGATGACAATGTCTGTATTTCCGATTTCTTTGGTGAAGTCCAGGTTCCTGCAGATGACCTCAGGCCTTGGATATTCCAGGATGAAATAGTGAAGGCTTTGTGTTCCATAAAGTGTCTAATGTTGTTGGTCGTGTGGTTTGGCCTCTGGCCAGTAATTGTGAGCAGAGCCTGCTGAGCATCTGGTACATGTCATTGGCTTGGGCTAGTGTAAGAGTGGCGGTTGGGCCTGTTTGCCTGCTCACGGCCTGGGCGTATGTGTGACTTTCATGTTGAGGCCCTCTTTGCGGGAGTGGGGGGCATGGGATGGGTAGGACGGCATAGGTCTGATCTGAGGGGGCCTAAATGGGGTGTGGGCATGGTTGACTTGGTGGGGTGTTAATTGGTGGGGGTGGGGTGTAGATGTGGCTGATGGTGCTGTGGTCTGGATGTAGGTCCTCTCGGCAGGGGTCCTCTATGTGTAGGTCCGGGGGGTGGTCCCGCAGGTCTGGGAGAGTGTCTCGCTGGTCTGGGCGGGGTGTCTGTTGATTTGTTGCTCCTGTGTGAGGTGTTGGGTCTGCAGTTGAGGGCGATATCCTTTAGGGTCCGGGCGAAGGTGGTCACTGCTGCCTTGTATAGGTGGACCTGGTCGTAAAGGCTGTTCACGTCCAGGGTGGAGTGGTGGGCCAGGTAGACATTTGGTTTTGATGCACAGTCACGGGAAATACTTGCGTTTACCTGCTGTATGGTAGCAGGGTGGAAATATTTTCGTGGTAGCAGGGTTGAGATAACCACTTGTGCGTTGGGGAAAGTAGAAGAAGCTTTACCTATCACTCCATTGAGTGCTGTGGCCACCCTTTCCTGCTGTGTTCTCAGGTCATTTGTGCCTGTGTGTATTATTATGTGGCTGTGTGATCCTAGTTGGTCCTCAGACAGAAGGTCTAGGGCGCGCTGGGTGTTTGGACACCAGAGTTTAGACACTGTGTGTTTGGGGAAAAGTGTTTTTTCTTGTATGTATTTCCCGTTTGAGTCCATAAGGAGTACAATCTGTGGCTTGTGTATGACTCAGTGGGTGTGGGGGGGTCGTCATGAGGGCTATCAGGGTGGCTCGGGGGGGGGTGCTCAGAGGGGTTGGGGTCCCCAGGGCTTGGAGTTCTTCATTTGTTTGTCTGGCTGTGATGTCGAGGCTATGGTCAGGGCTAGAGTGTACTGTTCTGCTGCGGTGTCGAGACTTTGGCCAGGATCTGAGGTGGGCTGTTCTGCTGGCTTCTCTGCGGGGGTGGCCAGCTCTCTAATGGGTTGTTCTCTGTCACCCGTCATCATTCTCACCTTCTCCTCCAGCACTCTGATCCTCTCCTCTAGTGCTCTGTTCTTCTCCTATTCCTGCTCTTTCTCCTGTTGATGTTGTCTCACCACAGTCCAGAGTGCAGACATGTCTCTCTCTACCTCCAGCTCTCCAGGTCTAGTTAAGGAGGTGTTGTTGTGCTGGACTGTTGTCTGGGTCTGTGCTGACTGGAGTGTGTTCACCTGCTGTTCCAGCTCCACCTGCCTTACCTCCAGCTGGGTGAATTTATCCTTCATTCTCTCTCTCTCTCTCTCTCTCTCTCTCTCTCTCTCTCTCTCTCTCTCTCTCTCTCTCTCTCTCTCTCTCTCTCTCTCTCTCTCTAGTCTGTTGCACATTTAAGTTTGTTCAGGATAAACAACTGCAAATAAACAAATGGGGGAATACACATGGTGCTGTTCCCAGACAAAACAAGGTGTCTACTTTCTAGACAAAATACTGGTCTATTTGGTCTTTGATGTAGTTATTGTAGCCTATAGGAGTGACTATAATGAGCATTGATGTGTATCATGGTAGCTGAGAGTTTTAGAATGAGAAAAATAGATGGTCTTTGAAGAACTTTATACCCCACACAGTCAACACTCTCTGATTCATCACTCTCTGATTGGAAGATGATTCATGCATGATTCATGAGTATATTGTTACGGTAGGTCTACTCTAGGAAGACAGACTCTCCTACAGGGAAAACCAAGATGTCTGACCTTTTTAATCATTTTGTTTAGGCAGTGACGGACGTCCCTTTTAAAGGTAATTTAAGTTTGAGCCGACATCCACAGCGTTTACCATGAATACGATCTCCATTAACAGTGTGGGAATTCCCTTTAAATCTAGAATCTTTAATTTAAACAATAACAAAGCACCACCCGTTTCTCTAAAAAGCTAAGGGCTGGGGTTGGAGAAATGTACTATGGATGTCAGTTGGAGGGCTTTGGTGGACAATAAAAACCAAACATGTCTCAGATATACAACATTTGCCACACTAGTACTTTACAGTTCAGTTACCAATGACAACTTTTAATGTATTTTTTTGTTTACTGACAAAGTAGTACTTCCAACCTGACAGCCATGTACATAACGTGCAGTAGTCCATCCACAGGAGTGTATTGATTTGTATACATGTTCACTATGAGGCTTTCAACGATCATCAAAAAGGAAAGCATCAATATTACCCGTCCTATTTTATACATTCTGCCTCGTACGGCCTCTATTGCTTTTATAAAATGACTGTTCCCCTGATGTGACTTTTCTTATTGTAGTTTGTTCTCATATAACATCTCCAGTAAAAAATACACACGGTTTATGCTTTAAGTCAGTTTAAGAGGTACTCCTGTAGTGCTCTCAAAAGTAAGATCCAAATGGAAATGTTGAAATTGAAAAGCACTCCTTTGCACTTACTTTCATTCAGTCCTGTCAGTATTCTTCATCAGATGAAGCTCATGTTAAAATTGTTGTTGTTCTTCAGTTTTAGAGTTAAGATCAAGGTCTGAACTTAGTTGAGAATTGGCACAATCATGGGCCCCCGAACATTCTGCTGAATACAGCAGAATTATATATATTTTTAAACATACTGTGCTTCTTCAACACAAACACACACCCATACACACAAGCACACAAGCACCTGACCCACTTTCCCAAACACACAAAAACACACAGACATACATGCTGAGAATCTACACATTAGCAATTAAGTATTAACAACGAAATGTCCACAACATAGAGTCGATGCGATACCAACACTAGACAATCAGCCCATCGAGTAACAGGAAACATTGAAAGGAAGATGGAGTCAATGAAGATTCGGCTCAGTAGATGGAGCTTTAATACGTTGTCCTTCAAATGTGTTTTTAGGTTTGTGTTGCATGGTGGTGTGCTTCCCATTTCAATCTTTGAAAATCTTCTTTGTGCTCCTGAAATTAAATACCTCAGGGTCCCCTTTTGCGCAGACCTGCTATGACACTGACCAGTTCCACAGCCACTCAAGATTTATCCCTCCAGCTAGCATACATCATACCTGTGTAGGCTACCACCGTATTGCGTTACTCATTTGATAACACCACATAAAGTCTGAGAGATACATAGCAGCAGAGCCCAGCTTGTCAGTCAAGGTTTTCTGCTGTTTTCTGGTTTGACTGTAAGGCTAATTAGTTAGTTAGTTAGTTAGTTATTTAGTTAGTTAGTGAGTTAGTTAGTGACTACTCCTTATACCTCCGGGCACCCTGTAGTTTTTTATAGTAGTTCTCCTGCTCAGTCTTGTTTTGAAATTGAATGTCCCTCTCCAGGAGAACTAGCGCGGTCTTGCGTCGTAAAGTGGACTCCCGGCTTCGCCCGTCATGGGGGACCTCTGCGTGAGGGAGGGGCAGAGGGGGGAGCACTTCGTGGTCACCATCGCCAGTGGAGGAGCAGGGCGAGATGCTGTGGTGCGGCCGGAAACTGCCAGCGCTGCCGCGAGCAGCGCCATGGTCGCCGCGGTTCAGGTCGTTTAGCTCGTAGGCGTCGCGTGGGTCGCTGCCGTCGGACGCGCCTCTCCACTTCCAGGGATTCCCGTTGCCCGAGGAGGGCAGGGCGGCGGCGTGCACCACGGGGTGGTGGGGGGCGTGGGCGTCTACCGTAATGATGGCCGAATTGCGCTGGGCCTCCGAGGGCGGGCGGTAGTGGGGCGAGTCGGCGCTGGTCGTAGAGGAGGTGCAGGAGGAGGTGGAGGTGGTCTCGGAGGACTTGGGCGTGTCCCCCGAAGAGGACGATGGGAGGAGGCCCTGCTGTTTAGACATGGCGATCACCTGCATGATGCGTGGCTGGTTGGGAGCCCCCCGAAGCGACACGCAACCACCACTCTTCTCCGTGATGGACAGCCACTTGGCGCGGGTCAGTGCGCTCTTGGGCGACACCGGCGGGGGACCTTTCTCGGGAATGTGGGGGGTTCTGGGGATTGCCCCCACCCTCACACCCCCCGGAGGCCCCACACTGACGGGGATTTGGCCGGTGGAAGCTCCACTGTTGGACTGCACCGTAGATGGGTACAGCGAGGCCTGTGGCCCCCCTTCCTCAGACCCTTCCTCTCCCCCTTCGGAGCCCTCCTCACTGGCCTCCCGCTCGGCCTCATCCCTGAGGCTCAGACCCCGCATCTCCATGGACTTCTGCTTCCACTCCGTCACCAGCTGCTGTGAGCGCATGGGGTCCATGGGCACCTGCACAGCCTTGAGCCTCCTCTTTACAGGCTGGGTGGGCTGCATCATGGAATCCTCGGGGCTCCCATTAGTGCCCATGCCCCCGTTAGCGTTCATGCTAGCTCTGGGCAGCGTGTTGCTGAAGGTCACCATGGTCTGCTGGCCCATGGGGCTGCGGGGCGCAAGGAGCTCCACGTCCACGCTGGCCCTGTTCAGGTTGCCCATGGAGGCCTTCTCGTGCTGCAGCGGAAGCCCCATGCCTTCCAGCCGGTCCAGGGAAGGTGGCACGGCGATCTCGTCGGCGCTCTCCGATGCTGAAGCTACGCCTTTGTTGTAGACTGAGTCGTGGCCCCGCTGGGTCAGTGCTCGTAGGGCGTCTTCCTTCTGGGGGGGCGGAGCTGGCTTGATGATGATGTCGTCGGAGGACCTGAAATTGCCAACAGCGTGGAAAGCCTGCAAGAGAAGAAGAGAAGGTCTTGGTGGCCTGAAACTCCTCCACGGCTACTCAGTATAATAGTGCTGTGGAAAGGCATTATCATTCACTATCATTCGTCTGCCTGGTTATTGCCCTGCGCTTTGCACTCCAGAGGAAGCCAACTTCAACAGAACTGATGAGCTAGCTCTAACCACGCTCTCTCTATCTCGGATAAGAGTGAGAGAACACAGGGACAAAGAGGAAATGAGAGAGGGAAAGAGATACGAGACAGAAAAGAGCTATGAGAAAAAAGGACATATGAGTGAGAGAGCATGATAAGATAAATGGGTATGTAGAGTAGGCCCCACCATAGAAAGACAGAACGTCATGGAAAACACTTCCAGAATCTGTTCAAATAAACACCATTGAGGCGAACGATGGAAAGACAGTATCTAAAATGGAGAGAGAGAGAGAGAGAGAGGCAGAGAGAGCGAGAGAGAGAGAGAGAGAGAGAGAGAGAGAGAGAGAGAGAGAGAGAGAGAGAGAGAGAGAGAGAGAGAGAGAGAGAGAGAGAGAGAGAGAGAGAGAGAGAGAGAGAGAGAGAGAGAAAGAGAGAGAGAGATGATGGGCATGATAGTGAACTCCATCCCTCCCTGAGGACAGATAGTCGAATGAAAGCAGAAACCAAATGAGAGTGGGAGGAGTGAGAAACTTTAATGAGAGCAGCAATCTAGAGATATCAAAGAGCCTAGCGCTAAACTGCAGGTAAGCCATTTAAGTGGGGGAGGGAGAGATTGTATGCAGTACAGTTTGATTGGCTGAAATCCTGCATCAGTGCCTGGCGAATAACACTTTCCTCTCCTGTGCTCGCCTCAAATCAAATCACAGAATGGCTACTATAGGAAGTAGTAGGTAGACTTCCCTCACATCTACCTTTCAGAAATGTACAGTATGTACGCATAAATAGCCTTTGTAAATCAGCTTTGGTAGAATCCTTAAATGTCTTATTCCTAAATGTTTTAATCACCAGTAAATCCTACCCTGCAGATAACAAAAAAAAAACATTTACAGAAATAAATATTAATCATCAGTATCAAATATATAAATGTCATATACTATAGAATTCAAGATAGATTTAAATGGAAGTCAGGTCATACCAGGTAGGCAGCGATGCCGGCCCCTATGAGGAAGCCCACGTAGACGTCGATGGGGTGGCTGCGGTACTGGGTGATCTGGGTCAGGCCGGTTAGCGCCGCAGCGATGGCAAACCCAAACACCAACACTGGCTTTAGCAGCTTGGTGCTGTCTGAGATGGTTGAATTAAAGTACATCTGCAAGAAGAGGGAAATCGAGAAAATACATGGTGAGATATTATAAAAGAAAAATTAAATACATTCCATTCATCTATGAAGATGATATATGGTTAAATTTTATTTATGCTTATAAACGGCATTATAACATGCCTTGTTAACTTTTAATAAACTGAACAGGCTTCTACATGTTAATTAAATCCACATAATTTAAGCTTTGTGATAATATTTTAAGCGGTTTATAAGCAAACCTTTCTATTTAAGAGTTACCAAATATATATGTGGGAAAAGCCAGTGTGTTTGGCACAGTACGTTAAGCTCTTCCTTAAAATAAATAGTGGGGACAGATTTGCCCAAAGGATTTGTGCATTGAGAATCTGGTGTGACTACTTTGGCTACGATTCCATTTATATTCTCAAGCAATATTAGCCCAATGCCCTAATTTGTGGCTAATCAAACTGCTATTATACTTGACCAGCCATTGAACAACGCATTAAAAAGAACCAAAGACGGAATCTGGGGAATGTTTTCTTATCAAGACAGCGTTCTCTGCACGTTTAATCAATAAAACTATCTTAAAATGTTCTGTCGCAGTTATTGTTTTCAGTTGACTTAAAGCGACAGACATTATTTTCTGTCAGTTGAGTCCTGGCGGCCTATAGGGAAACACTGCCTCAGAAAATTTAACCTGGCCCTAGCAATACACTGTAGGCAATAACCATGCTCTGAACTGAAATGTTACTTGAAATGTTACTGATAGTCTGTAGATAGTCTGTAGAGCATCTACAGATGGACTATCCAAATAAAGTGTTACCGATGCCACTGACTACTAGCTTCCATACTGTGTATTCATCCCTGGAGGTGTACTTACTGATATGTACACAGCAGCAAAGGCAGACAGGGTTGCATGCTGGGAGGGAAAGGTTTTCCTGTCGAGAAACAGAAAACATGTTAGCGTTGAGACGAAATGCTAGAAAAGCAGAAAGACAGACACCGTATGTCACACAGCTTTGATCACAACTTGAAAGGGGAGAAAACAGCGCCAATGTGGTGTAAAGGAAGAAAGATCCCACCTGTACATTTCTACAGTGCGGGTTAGTGTTGTGGTGTTGCTGTCAAGGTGTGCTATATCTGTCTAAACATATCTCCCTGTTTATCTGCCTATGACTGGTCTGTGAATCTTTGTCCAAATACTCCAAAATGGTGTCCTTACTAACGCCACCTTTATAATCACTTAGCCTACCTTAGATTGGATAAGAATGGATAATCTACCTGAAAGCAACATGGAGGAAAGGAGAAATTGCTATGTCTTTCACCTATCCAGTCTGTTTAGATCAGTGGTCCAGAGAGGAAGAAAACAAGAACATTTTCAGTATTGGGACACATCCTCAGCCAGAGAAAATAAGATGGTCTGTCCAAGGCTGCATTCCAATACTTTGAAATTATTTTCTGTCCTCATCTCCACTGCATCAGTATTCCTTTTAGGTTCATTTTTTGCTCTGTAACTGTAACTGAATTTACAAGAAGTTGAGCTTTATTACATAATGTCCTTGAAAGCCCATTAAATTCATATTCATCCTTCATTTTTTTTTAGCTTCTCTTTTTCCCTTGCTGTGTTTATTGTGCCTCATGAGGAGATGTGGACAAACAAGAGCTACAGTATCTTCTGATATCCACTCTAGCAATAGCTTCATTCAAAGTGGTATGCTAGTGTGGATATTGGAACAGAACCTCCTGGTTCAGGTGGTTATGTTATGTGTTAAGTTAAACTGTGTTATGATATATTATGTTATGTGATGTCACTTTACGTTATGTCATGTCATCTTATTTCATGTTACACTGTAATGGAAAACTGTAATTTATACAGTAATTTTGGGTAAGCATTATACTACAGCGTACTGTAAATGATGGTGCATTGTGGGAAAATGTTGTGGCCGGGGAAATAATTGCTGTATTTTGAATGGTATTGTAATTTCATCCCATAGAATCTGTGCTGTACCGTATATTTGGAGCACTAAAAACCTTTTGACCACTAGTGGGTGCATGATATTGTTGTTTCTGGCTCATTAACATATTTTGAGGCATGTATTGTGAGAGGCTATATTTGTTGCACCTGTTAGAGAGAGCTGTACCAATTTAACTGGTATGTGGTAGTTGTTCCCCATCAAATAAAAATATATAGGGGGCAGATTGGAATGGCAAGCGTCACAAACCTTTAATGGTTGCCAATGGTTTTGCCATGTAGTCGCTGACAGTTTAGTAGCGTTTGTTAAGTGGAACACGAAATATTCATTGATATTCTGTAATGTGCAAACACATTAACTAGCAGCCGACCTGCTTGCACCAATCCCATGTAATTACAGCAAAATACTGTGAAATACAAACCCCAATCCCCTCAATGAATTTCATTCATTCATCCATCCATTTATTAAGATTACGGTAGCATTTACTTTACTATAGTATAATACAGTCAATTCTACAGTACTGTACTGTGTGTTATTACACAGCACTTGCTTTGATACTGTATTTGGATTACAGTAGGTGTACTGCAATATGAAATACAGTAACTTACTTGCCAATGAGCTGCCTGTAAATTACTGTCAAATTCAAGGCAACCCCTTTACAGTGTATGTCATGTTATGTAATGCAGCTACCTGGCGGAGAGGATGGTGTGCTGGTCGTGGCTGGAGCAGATGTCCTTGGTGATGTAGGGGTTTTTGTCACATGCCACCCCTGGCTGAGTGTAGTTGGGTTTACACACGGTCAGAAAGAAGGGGGAGTGATAGCCTGTGGCCAACTGGATCACATCAGTTACTAGAGCTGTGGCGCACAGCCCAAATACATGTACGCCTAAAGACACAGGGAGAAGGGGAGAGAGAGTAAGGGAGTGAAAAGGAGAGGAGGGTGAATGAGAGGGAGAGAGAAATACAGAGATAGAAAGAGAGAGGGGGGCGGGTTGTAGGAGGGTAAGAGAAAGATGGGGAGATTGAGAGAAAGAGGAGGGAGCGAGCAGTGACGTGGGGAGAAAGGGAGAGCAGTGAAGACAAGACAGAAAGAGGAGGAAGAAAAGTGAGTCTTTGTCACACTGGATAAATACAGGAACAGGCCACATTCATTTGACACAGAGTGGAACCATACCTACGAAGCGCACCGTTCGCCGTAGGAAGGAGTTGAAGTTGCACCCACCGGCGTTGATGCTGCCCTCCACCCCAGGGCGGATCTTAAGGTGTGACTGCATGCAGTAGATCAGGCCCTCCCCTATCATTATCTGACCAGACAACAACACACAGTCAGAGATACAGAAACATTCGATGACCACGTACTAGTCAACTCATTTCTACTTGACAATTATGTTCAACACTAGAGAGATGGGCTATTTGAGAAAACAGTATTTGGTTTGTGTCTCACCTGAATGTAGGCCTATATGCATATACACAACTAAATGCTTTCCTGTACCCAAGAAAGCAAAGGTAACTGAACTAAATGACTATCGCCCCGTAGCACTCACCTCTGTCATCACCTCTACCTTACCTGTCACCCTAGACCCACTTCAATTTGCTTACCGCCCCAATAGATCCACAGACAATGTAATCGCTATCACACTGCACACTGCCCTATCCCATCTGGACAAGAGGGATACCGATGTAAGAATGCTGTTCATTGACTATAGCTCAGTATTCAACACCATAGTACCCTCCAAGCTCATCATTAAGCTTGAGGCCCTGGGTCTGAACCCCGCCCTGTGCAACTGGGTCCTGGACTTCCTGACGGGCCGCCCCAAGGTGGTGAAGGTAAGAAACAACATCTCCACTTCACTGATGTGAGGGCTCTTGGAGTGTGGTGCCTGGAATATAACCTCTCACTCAATGTCAACAAAACAAAGGAGATGATCGTGGACTTCAGGAAACAGCAGAGGGTGCACCCCCCTATCCACATTGACGGGACCGCAGTGGAGAAGGTGGAAAGCTTCAAGTTCCTTGGCGTACACATCACTAACAAACTTAAATGGTCCACCCACGCAGACAGTGTTGTGAAGAAGGCTCAACAGAGCCTCTTAAACCGCAGGAGGCTGAAGAAATTTGGCTTGGCACCTAAAACCCTCACAAACCTTTACAGATGCACAATTGAGAGCATCCTGTCGGGCTGTATCACTGCCTGGTACGGCAACTGCACCGCCCGCAACCGCAGGGCTCTCCAGAGGGTGGTGTGGTCTGCTGAACTCATTACCGGGGGCA